AGTCGGTTTTTGCCTGAACAATCGGAAGAGCTAAGCAGACTGTGAAGCGCTTAAAATATTTCATGAATTCATGAATGCGAAATGGTCACTCGCTTCATTTGACGTCGTCAACGGGTCCGAAAGATGACCGACCCGAATCCAGTGGTATAATTAGGTGTAGGAAAACAAATAAGAAATCGAACGATGGTCAAGATACATTTCCACTGTAGGCACTTGTCGTGTAATGCTAATAAGAACCAGTCACAAGGACTAGAAGCAGGTGTGTAACGAAGGTCATTAGGTGAGATACCAAGGACTTCGTAGAATGCCTCAAGTTCTGTTCACTGGAGTTCGGAGTAAAAGCACTAGTAAGGAGTTCATGATAAGAACCCGAACATCAGCTGAAGTAATGTGTCACAAAGTCAAGGCGGAAGCATCCATTCTACCACTCGATAACAAGGAAATTACACCACAAGTTTCATAGTGAGAACCTAATGAATATAGAATGGAGGGAGCAAGCACATACGTTGCGTATATGTTTTCTAGATAGCCCTGGAGAGTTCCACCTTTCGAATATACGTCGTTCGCCAATTCGGACATGACTGCAAGTGCACCGATACCATCTTTGTCCAAGACGACATCACTGCACATGAAACCTGTGGGGAACGCATGAATAGCAAAAAGTGAGGAGCAAAGCTGGCGTAGAAAAAGGCATGGAATAGCAGAATTTACCCTCTTCGAAGACGTGCTTCAAGGGCGAACACTGTTCGTGTTCTGCATGGCAAAAATAATCAAGCTGGAGAACACTTTAAAAGATTTGGGCTGCAAACGCCAACTTAAACATGCGAGCATGACTCGAAACATGCAGGGAGACCACGTACCGATAGCCTCCTCAAAGGCAAACAGTATCTTGATCCCCTCTTTCGCGAGCTGATCCGCGCGGTTGCCCATCCACTTGAAACCAGTTAGCGTCTCCTCAAAGTAGAAACCCTCCTTCTTAGCAATGGTGTCCAATATTTTTGACGAAACGGTGCTGGATAACATTCCGTACCTGGAGGCTAAAATGAAGACGAGATCTGGAATAATAAAAATTAAAGTCAAATGTCCTGCCTAATGATTATAGGATACGACTACCGGCTCAGTTCAAGACTAATCACCCAGCTGAAACCAAATCAATCTTTCAGTTCAGCAAAGAGTGCTGGTGTGAATCGAACCTGACAACATGATGATTCGCCTATTCATTTTCTTACTCCGCCAATTCACTCTGGATTTACACATGTTTTCCTCGTCCGTAACTGCAGCCCATCTTGCTGTAAAGGTCGCACCGTCCGACATTGATATACTGACATGTAAACATGCGTGAATATGTGCAGCTGACCTACTTACCTATTCGTGTTCGTGTCCTGTCTGCTGAGCCTGATCTGACTTATTCTGTTGTTTTCTGTATGACCGCACCGCCTCGGAAGCAGCTACCCCAAACCACACTACCAAGCCAACATTCCGCTCGCATCTTGAGATTGCATTGTGTCGGTCAGTGACAGATTTGCGCAATGGACGTGAACAATTGAGATGTGTTGCATGATTTCGCTCACGTTCGTGTAAACAGTACCGTAGATTTTCGAACCCAATGCTTCCTGTTGATATGCTGGATCATCACACTCACCCGTAACTCTAAATTCCATATCGGGAACCTCAACACATGTCGTGAAGGCCTCCGACTAAATCACCCTATCATACACAGATAGTATGACAATGAAGAGTGGCTGTAGCAGCCAATTTTCCACTTACCGGAAAGATCGCATGTATGCATGCAGTACTGATGAACGCGTTTGGCTAATAATACCAATCGTTCAGCTGTAGCACCCTTTCGGTGCCTAGCTGCCATACCACACGAAGGAGGCACGAGGGCTGGGATACTGCCAGGTTGCCCAAGCCTAGACAGGGGAAGTCGAGTGGCAGAGGTCGGGTTCGAACCACGGACCTTCCGGTCAGTGAATTCGCGCTCTAACCACTTGGTCCATCTCGCCCCCAATTCTTATGGGAATTCTAATCCAACATGTCTCTTAATGAGAAGCGCGATATTGAGAGGTTATACTACAGAATGGAGCCGTACAGAAAAACCCGACATTCCTGCTAGTATGATTCAACGGATCAGGTCAACTACTTGAGATTGGTGTTGAATAGCACCGTCAAACCTATGACTGATTCTTAACATGCTGTACTGGTTT